TGATTCTTGCTCTCGATCATGATAGCGTGTGATGAATTAGGTGATCTTTGCGTTTTAACATGAAGTGGCGTGGTTTCGATCCTAAAATACCTGGTCTTCCTTTGAAAAGGACCTAGGATGTCACCAGAGGGGGGTGAATAGGCGCCGAAAATTAACACCTTTGAATGCTGAAATGATTTAGTAGTGGAGTTTCAAAAATGGAACCTCCAAATTAAGAGTATTACCACCCTCACAAGTTAACCCACAGAGTATACAAGGTATAAATAATATATCTAGGCCACAACCCGCACTATCAAAGTTAGAACAGAGAATAAATATTTTAGTGCGAGGCGGGGAAATACGGTGATGTCAAGTATACAATTCTACTTGAGATCAGCCCCGAACTTGCTCCTTTTGATTTCTATCTTCAAACCCAACTGCAGGCACCTAATTTAACTATCGGTATACGGAGAACACCTTTAAAGTGCTAGAGCAACACAAATATCAAATGAAATGCAATTGAGACCACGATATTTGTTTCTGCGAAGTTCGGACTTCGTTAGGAGTCTACTCTCGGTGAGAACTGTAGGCGACCAGTGAAGGTCGACCCTAGAGGATACCACGAAGGTCACTCTAGTAGGAGTCTTTTCAACTCCTTTCCTCCTTCCACCTAATTGATTCGGTGGGATAGTGAATTCCCTAACTTTCGAGGCTACAATCTCCGGGTGCTCTCGGTGATGTCTAGCAAATCTGGGGCCGAAGAGTCCAAGAGTAACAAATCACGAATCCATGAGATTGACAATATGCTGGGAGTGCTCAAGTGGTTGGATGGCTCTCTTTTGAATTTCACTCAACCCTAGAATTGATTTTGCAAAGTTTGATCAATCACTCACTAAGAGGGTTGTAGCAAGGAGCTCAAGCGATGTGTCTAAGTCGGTAGAATGAGTAGCCTCAAAGGTGGAAGCAGAAGTATTATAGCCTTGAAAAACTAACCAGTTTATAGCCGTTGCAATCTCTGGGACCACGTCCAGGGTATGACTGACTAATAGCAGTATGACTAGAGTTTCTGATGATGTTGTGAAGCATGAACTCCCGAAGAATGGCA